AGGGTGAAATGTATGGTATGTGATTATCTCAATAGAACTATTGTTAACAAAAAAAGGAATGTTAAATAGAGTTTGCTGTCTTTGGAAGGATATATTTATCCTATATTGTATACAGTATAGAATAAAAACAATAAAACTAAAAATAATGGCTACCTCTAGTGAGGTTAACACTGAGGGCAGAGGTGGAAATGGTGACACTTCCCTATATACCCTGCTGGCATCTTTAGAACTCTGTATTAAGGGTTTGTATTCTCTACACAAAAAATTGAGTTAAAAAATTTTAAGTTGATGGAAAAGCATCTCATAGCATTCCAATAATCACAGCAAAAATATTTTAGATTCGGTAAACGTGATGTCCCTCTGTGAAATGGCTGGAATCAAAGAGTCTCCAATCAGTGTCTCCAGTGAGCAGAGCAATGTTTGAAGAACTCGCCTCATTGCTCTCACAGGGAAATGTGACACTGCCAGCTCCTGGTGCGCCCACAAGGAGCCTGCGCTGGCAGGATGCCAGGTAATAGAGCCCTTGGGCAAGGTCATTGGTGATCCTTCTCATTCATTCAACTGCACAGAAGCATCTAAAATACTTACTCAAACTAGCATGTAACAGGCTAAACTTTCAAACAGCCACTTTTGCTATACTCCAATAATAAATAATATTGAAACTGAAATCAGAAGTGAAAACCAAAATCAGTTGCCCTCCCCTTAAAGTGATTACGACACCTGTAAACACACTGCTGGCTCACTCAAGCTCTGTGGACAGCAGGGGAAAGGGCACCTATTGCTGTATGGGTCACGGAATGTTTACCAATTAACTGACCTTTGAGAACCCATGAGTACTACGTATATATTAGTCTTGGGGCTTGTTTGGCTACTTGGAAAAACTCCCTTTAAAGGTTAATGTCAAAAAATAAACCCTCTGTTACAATGAGTCCCATGACCAAAATGAACTTTGAAAAGGCACGTCTCTGGAATACATACTTTTATGTCTGTAAGTGCCCCATCTGAAATGGGGACTTAAAAAAAGTATGACCTTGATCCACAGGCCAGTGACATATTCTACTCAATATCGTGAAAGGAGGGTGTCTTTCCTGTAACCCAAGAGCTCAAAGGCAGGGCTGGCATCCACCTATCATAAAGACTGCCTCATACGCTGTTTAACATTCTGCTATTCAACTGGGAAGAGGGTGGAGGGAGCTCCTGCAGTACCTATCAAGTTCTATTTCTTGTTCTGAGGGGTGGCTATACAGGTGTGTGTATGAAAATGCATCAGGCTGTACACTAACGATTTGAGCCCTCTTCTGTACGTATGTCACATTTCTACTGAAAATTATACTTTTAAAAACTCTAAAAAGAAGACAAAACAATTATTCAGGATAAAGAAGATTGCTACGTTATGATAAAATGTTTAATCACTTGGAGGATATAAACATTGTAAACTTGAATGCACCTAGTAAAATAGCATGAAAATATATAAAGCAAAAATTGAAAGAATTACAAAGAGAAAGTGACAGATCTACCATTATAATGAGAAATTTCAACATATTTCAGTGAATAACACATTAGGAAAGAAATAGACTTGACACAGTTAAATTAGATTTAATGAGGATATGCAAAACTCTACACTCAACGATCGAAAGATGTGCATTCTTTCAAGCACATATAGAATATGAAAAATAAGTATGCATGGGCTATAAAGCAAGTCTCAAAATTTAGTAGCAATCAGACTGTGTTCTCTGATATTTTATTTTTATTGTCATTAACAAACACTTATGCAGTGCTGATTAGGTACCAGCATTGTTCTAAGCATTTTATAATTATTATTCCATTTAATCCTCTTAATAACCCTATGAGATACCAGCTGTTATTGTCATCCATTCTATAGATGAAGAAACTGAGGCAAAGAGGTTAAGTAACTTAAGTAATTTAAGCCCAAGATTTTACAGCTTATAAATAGTGGACCTAGGATTCAAGGGAGTCTAGCTTTAAAGCGCATATTCTTAACCACTTTTTTATGCTGCCTCTTTAATCACAAAACAATTAAACTAGGACTTGATAACAAAAAAAAATAACCTACCCTCTTCCACATTTGTAGACTAAAAAGTATATTTCTAAATAACTCAACAAGTCAAAGAGAAAAATCGGGGCTGGCCCAGTGGCGTAGCAGTTAAGTTCATGCACTCTGCTTCCATGGCCTGGGGTTCACCAGTTTGGATCCTGGGTGCAGACCTATGCACCACTTATCAAGCCATGCTGTGGCGGCATCCCACATATAAAGTAGAGAAAGATGGGCAAGGATTTTAGCTCAGGGCCAACTTTCCTCAACAAAAAGAGGAGACTGGTGGTGGACATTAGCTCAGGGCTAATCTTCCTCAAAAATAAATAAATAAATAAAAACAAAAAAAATTATCTTAAAAAAAAGGGGGGGGGCCAGTCCCTGGCCGAGTGGTTAAGTTCCCGCGCTCCGCTTTGGTGGCCCAGGGTTTTGCCAGTTTGGATCCTGGGCACAGACATGGCACCACTCATTAGGCCACGTTGCGGAGGTGTCCCACATGCTAAAACTAGAAGGACCCACAACTAAAATATATAACTGTATACTTGGGGGATTTGGGGAGAAAAAGCAGAAAAAAAAAAAAAAGATTGGCAACAGTTGTTAGCCCAGGTGCCAATCTTTAAAAAAAAAAGAAAAGAAAAGAAAAATTGAATTTAAAACAATCTCTAGAACTGAAACTAGTACATATGAAAACTACTGGGGATAAGTGTTTCAAAGGAAATGTATAGCTTTAAATAACTATATAAGGAAAGAAGAGAGGATGTAAAAATTCTAGGAAATGTAAAAGTAACTCATAGTAACGGATCAGTGGTTACCTGGGGGTCAGAAGAAGGGGAGGAATTACAAGGGCAGTGTGGAGGGATGGCAAAGGGACACAGAAAATTATGGAGGATGCTGAATACGCTCATTATCTTGATTGTGGTGATGGTTTCATGGGTGTATATATATGTTAAAACTTGTGAAAGCATAGTCTTTAAACCATTTATTTTATGTCAATTGTACCTCAATAAAACTGTTTTTAAAATATGCCCATGAGTAAAAAATGTAAACATTATATATGGGGTGTAGAGTGAAAAGTAAAAGTCTGTCTGCATCTCCACCTACAACAACTGTCTTTGAAGTCTTCCCTTTTTAAAAAAAAGATTTTATTTTTTCCTTTTTCTCCCCAAAGCACCCCCGGTACATAGTTGTATATTTTAGTTGTGGGTCCTTCTAGTTGTGGCATGTGGGGCGCTGCCTCAGCGTGGCCTGATGAGCAGTGCCAGGATCCAAAGCGGCGAAACCCCGGGCCTCCGAAGCAGAGCGCGTGAACTTAACCACTGGGCCATGGGGCCGTCCGCCTCTCTGAGTCTTCTGTGAGAACCTTCCCAACATATCCATCTCCCTTTCCTCCAAGTAGCTAACAACAGTTATGAATTTTGTACTTATTATTCTCTTACTTTTTGTTTTAGTTTTAAGTGTTGCAAAGATATTTTCCCAGGTTGTGATTTGACTTTTCACATTTTGTGTCCTTTGATGAACAAAAGTTTAAAATTTTTAATGTCGCTCAATTTATCAATCTTTTCCTTTATGTTTATGATTTGGGGATCCTGCTTTAAGAAATCCTTGCTTATCCAAAGTTCTAAACCTTTAAAAATGCAGAGAAACTGGATCACTCGTGCATTGCTGGTGGGGATGTAGAATGGTACAGCCACTCTGGGAGAGTTCTGTAGTTTCTTTAAAAACTGTCCCTGCAAATACCATGCAACCCAGCAACTGTACTGCTGGATATTTATTCCAGAAGATTTATGTTCACACAAAAACCTGCACACAAATGTTTGCAGTAGCTTTATACATAATAGACAAAAATTGTAAACAACTTTGCTTACAACTCTGCAAAGAAAATGTGTATTTGGTCTCTGCTCCCAGTTCATGACTCAGAATTTCTAAAACCCCTGTAATTTCCTGAGTGATGGGGGTGTCAGGAGCATCTTTTGTTCTAGTATTTGGTCTTTGACTCTGGTTCCTGACACAGAGCTCCTACATCCCTTGGGATTTCCTGGATGACAGGAGCATCTTTTGTTCTAATGAGGCAACTCTTGGTAGACTCCTGGATAGCTTCAGGGTGGGGGCCGATCACCAGAAGGACCATGCCGTGATTAGAAATTTGGCACTTTCAGCCCCAATCCTCATCCTCTGAAGAGGATGAGTTAATAATCAATCATGCCTATGTGATGAAGCTTCCTTTAAAACTCCGTAAACTGTGGGTTCGGAGAGCTGCTGAATTGGCAAACACATCCATGTGCCGGGAGGGTGGCACTCCATGGGGAGGGACAGAAGCTCCTGAATCTTCCAGATCTTGCCATGTGTACATTTTCGTCTGGCTGTTCATCTGTATCCTTTATTATATCCTTTATAATAAGCCGGTAAACATAAGCAAGTGTTTCCATGAGTTCTGTGAGCCATTATAGCAAATTATCGAACCTGAGGAGGGGGTTGGCTGTGGGAACCCTCGGTTCACGGTCAGTTGGTCAGAAGTATGGGAAGTCTGGACTCGGGATGGTGTCTGAAGTTGGGGGTAGTCTTATGGGACTGAGCCCTTAACCTGTTGTATCTGTGTTAACTCTGGGTAGTCAGTGTCAGAATTGCTTGGTGTGTGGAAAAAAACACACAGTTGGTGTCAGAAGTGTTGTGAATAAAATACAGGAAATAAGCGTTTTCCCTTTCAACTCAGATGTCCTTCAATGAGTAAGTGACTAAACAAACTGTGGTACTCCACACCATGGAATACTGCTCAGCAATAAAAAAGAATGAGTACTGATACATGCAACAATCTGGATGCATCTCCAGAAAATTACGTTGAGTGAAAAAAGCCATTCCCAAAAGGTTACATACTGTATGATTTGACTTATATAACATTTTTGAAATGACAAAATTATAGAAATGGAGAACAGATTAATAGTTGCCAGGCAGTGGGGAGTGGGGAGGGAGGTTGTTGTCACTATAAAAGGGTGACATGAGGGATCCTGGCATTGCTGCTCTATATCTTGACCGTATCAATGTCAATATCCTGATTGTTATATTGTAACATAGTCCAGCACAATGGTTTTCAATACAGTGAGTGTGAATAGAACCACACTCACTGTGTGTAAATTTAAACACAGACACACACAATTCCATAGGGAAGGTAGGGGATGAGTCCAGGTATTTTCAAAAGGCTCATCAAATTATTTTCTGCTCACACACACACCCTGAGGGCCCCAGGGCTGTAGGCCTTTAGAGACATTAGATATGGAAGGGTAAGCAGGAGAGTTCCATTTTAGCAGAATGGCAAAATGAAGGATTAGATGGGGGGAAACTATATAGAGGACGCCTTACAAAGAGGCTATAGCAATAGTGCAAACAAGGGAGGATGCAGATGTGTGCTACAGTGCCAGCTATGGGAGCAGAGACCTGTTAGGTTTATGTCATGAAGAAGGAGCTTACTCCTCAATCCAGCTTCTTAGTTCAATATTGACAACAATCCCTAAAGTCCACAGTTGGAGAAAGGACACATTTCTAGGTCTGCAATAAAATAATTACATGTTTTTGCCTTACAAAATTACAAGAGAGCACCACCATCCCTTTCCTGGTGGTCCATGCTCTTTCTTTCTCTGAGGCACGATAGTTCCATAAGGACCTGATGAGGCTTTATCAACACCCTCCGCTGCCCTATCTCCCAAGTCTCCTATTTTCCCTGAAACGTACTTGGAATTCAGATTTTAAACCATGTACCTAGACAAGGCTGCTTCTCCCCTAGTCCCGGCCCAACTTCCTCCCTGCCTGGAGCCCGGAAGGCATACCTGGACAGGGACACAGCACGACACTCTGCTGTGACCTCTCTGGCCACAGCTTCTCATCAGTCAGCGGTCACCTGTCATGAGCAGTATTCAAAACCAGGAACCAAGGTGTGGTCTGAGCTTCTTTAAGCTCAAGGGTTTGGGGGTTCCTGGTGATTCCCCAGAGAAGAGTCCAGAAGAGCAAGATGGAAGGGGGGTGGCCTCTGAGAGGCGGATTCCTCCTCTGCCTCACTGTCAGCCTTCTACTTCAAGGTAAGATAGGGCAAGAACGTGGAAAGATAAAAATGCTGTTCTGGGCAAAATCCAGAAACCTTCTCATTCTCCAGAACCAGAGAGCATCTGAAGTAGCTGGGTTAAACATTTCCTTTCTCTGTAGTATCTATGTTTTGGCTTCCTTTGGGGACAGAAAAACCCATTTCACTGATCAGTACACACAGCCCCTCTCTAATTTGCCTGCATAGGCATCTACCAAATTGTCTTTCCTTCCATTTTACGACCTCTCCAACTCCACCCCTTTATAATGTCCAACTTTTCCTTTCCACCAAGATGTAGCAACTATGAACAGGGTAGCTTAGGTCCTATTGACAATAACATAACTCCTTTCCCATTTCACTTAGGAAGATCTTGTCATAGAGGAGGTGATGTGGGGCGGGGTGGGGGGGGGGGGCGGTGAAGGACAACGGTTTCTCCCCCCTGGGTTTTGTTTCTCTCTAGTTTGGAGATGTACCTTATGAGTTTACTGGTATGGGGAGATAGTGGAAGAGCTATGGGAAAAAACTTGCTGGCTCATAGTTACAGGAATAAGCACAGAGTCATCTGGGGTTGGGGTGTGGCTGAGGTGGGCAGAAGGGCTTTTACATTTCATTGTATAGCTCCGCCAACCCCATGGCAGATGATCAATGAGATCTTCTCAAGATGGTGATGAGGAAAATGGCTTGAAGGAAAATGGCACAGATCTTAGAAGTCACTGAATTTGAGAAGGGCAGAGATCACAGCACATAGAAGATAGTAAATTCACATTGAATACAACATTCCTTAAGTTCCCACGTATTTTACATCACACTTATATTTACTTCTCTCCAAATTTTTCCTTTCTGGAAATGGGAAAACATGGATGTAGAAAGGGAAAATTGAGAGAAAAAATTTTAGGGAAATTTTGTTCAGTGACTATGAGGAAGACTCATAATAGAGCTGGAAAGAAAAAAGTGTGGTCAGATAATGGCCAAAACTTCAGAGTTGCGAGTATGGAACGAATAGGACTCCCCAGAGTGGCTGTTTGCATACAGATTTGGGTAGGCTTTATGAGGGAGAAAAGCACAGGAAGAATGGTCTGAGCCCTGACTCAGCTCACATCCACTTCCGCCATTTGCCTACCAGCCAGCCCAGCCCATCCTCCCCAGCCCTGGGAGGAAAGGCTTGGCCCCCTAGGGAGTCGTGGCCCAGAAAGGAGGGGCTCACATGCCTCAACCATGTCCACATCTTCTTTCTCTGCAGAGAGTCTCTCAGGCCCCAGCCCTGGTACTCCTCTCACTTAGGAAACACAAAAGCCCTATTCCCATCTCAGAGGGTCTCTGTTCTCTATAGGAAGGGCAAACGCTTTCACCATCAATTGCTCAGGCTTTGACCAGTATGGGGTGAACCCTGCTGTCCTCCAGGCTATCTTTGACCAGAAGGACTTCCGTCCGTTCATCAACTACAGCATCCCCACTCATGTCAACATCTCCTTCACCCTGTCTGCCATCCTGGAAGTGGTGAGTGCTGACTCCTACATTCTTTCTATAGGCTTCTTATAGGGACCAAAGACTCTTTACCCTGTCAACCAACAATGCACTGGTCCAGGGGTAAGCAATGAGTCCCCTGAATGGATTTTGCACAAGCTAGGTGTTTATCCTGTAGGGGAGAGAGACATGAAGGGGAATGTTGCAGTAACACTTCTGCAGAGAACTTTTGTCCTTGAGTCCTGCCTGTATGGGAATATTCTACAAAAAATATATTCCCAATGGGCCCCCATGCTGTTTTTTCCCCTATTTTTTCCATGCAACCTGCATTTTTCTGACCTACCTTTCTTTTGGAACTTGTGATTGAAAAGCTGAGCTGTCACAAGGGACCACTTAGGAAACAAAGGCAGGAGGTAGGCTAGGACTTGAATTCATGGCATTAATGATCCTGAATGTTTTTTGCCTGTTTGTTGTCAGAATGTACAACTTCAGCTGCTGACGTCATTTCTGTGGGTAAAGATGGTATGTGAATTCAGCTTTCTTCTTTTCTTTTTCTCCTCCCCTTTTTTTTCTGGCTTTGTTTGCAAAAATGACATTTGTTCAAATCGACAGTACCCAAGGGAATAGACAAATCCAACCAGAATGTGGTCAGCAGTGTTGACAAATAGCTTTCTGGGCTGCCAATCATCTTTGAAAGATATAGATGGAAAATACACAGAAGGAGGGCAGTACAGTTGGAGGCCCCTAAGCAAGCTTCAGCTCCCACCTGTATCCAGCACCCAGCTTAAGATTTCCCTTGAGTGGGAAGGAAAAGGTCAGTAAGACTTTGTCAGCTAGAGAAAGGGAGACGTCACTAGGGTAAGAAGGGGAATCAGAGTTTAAAAGGAGATGAGCTCAAAAAAAAACCTGTGCATCAGTGTGCACAGTATGATTCTATCTGTGTAAATTTAAAAGAATGCTAGAATATCTATTAACTTTTTTCTGAATGATACACAAGAAACTGTTAATAATAGGACTGTGTTGGGGATGTGGACTGAGTTGGAGTGAACTGAGGAGGGAGAAGATGGTGATTTATATCACACCTTTCTGAAATGGTTGAAGTTTTATCATATGCCTATAGTCCCTACATTTAGAAAAAAATACATGCCTATGTGTATATTTTTAAGAGAATGAAAGGGTAGGAGATGTTGACATAAACTAGCTCCAGGTTTCAGCCATAATCGTCTCTCTGTGCCCTAGATTTGGAATAACCCATTCATCAGCTGGAACCCAAAAGAATGTGGTAATATCAATAAATTCGCTGTGACAGCTGAGAATCTGTGGCTCCCAGACATCTTCATCGTGGAATCGTGGGTATCAGGGCTGGGGAAAGCTGGAGGGAAGACCCTTCTGCAAGGAGCAGGCCAGGGCAGTGCAGGGCAAACCCATTCAGTGGGACCACTAAAAACTCGTTCAGAGAAGAGCACAATCACAGGTCATTAACTTCTCCCCTGGAAATGGGAAAAAGATGACAGAGTGGCCATAATGAGCAACATTGGGAAGCCCCGCCTTAAGAGAGAAACTTAAACTGACATGAAACCCAGAGCATTTGCCTCCCTCCCATTCTGCCGCTTAGCACGGATGTGGATCAGATCCCAGAAGGCCTCTCTGCATATATGACTCACGAAGGTGACATCGTGTATAACAAACCAGCACGGATCACCAGTGTCTGTAGCCTGGACATCTTCTACTTCCCCTTTGACCAGCAGAACTGCACGCTCACCTTTAGCTCTTTCATCTACACAGGTGAGTTGCAGTGGAGGTTGTGGGATCAACCAGTGGGGCAGCCAAAAATCACACACAGGCAAAGTGGGGTTTATTTTAATGCATAAAAAAGGACAGTGGAGTATTTGCTAGTTGAAGATGTGTGGATGGTGGGGTGGGAGGCACTTGAACTTAAGAGAGGACAATACTTCCTGAAAAATCGAAAGAAGGCCATTGAGCAGTGAGGAAGCCATGTTGCAGGGCAATCTGAAAAAGGCAGCTGAAGCAGTTTTCTAATTCATCACTCAGAGCCCTGCACAGAGCAGGTGCTGAAAAGATGTGTGTTGAATGAATGTTTGTCTCCTCTGCAGCGGAAACCATGTCACTGGGCATGGACAGGGAAGTGTGGGAGATAGTGGACACCTCGCGTGACATTGTTTTCAGGCAAGGGGAGTGGGAGCTCCTGGGTATCAGCAAGGCCACCCTGAAGACGTTTGTGGGCTCCAGACTTTTTGACCGGATCGCGTTCTTTGTAAGCCCAGAGATTCTGGCATGGCTACCCATTCTCCATATCTCCCTCCCTTTCTTTTAAGTCCCTCTCACTACTTGCCCAAGACCAGAAAGCCCCTGGGAACCGTAACTCTCACAGCCTGCCTCTCTCCCAAGCCCTCCAATGCAGCCCCCCTTTCTGAATCTGCCAGGTCTGGCTTAGGTTTTCTTTGATGGGTATGGGAGAGTCTCTTTAGTCACATGAACGCTGCTTCTCATCCTGTTCTAGAAATGCCCCTTGCTGGGGTGAGGACACCAAGGAAAGAAGGGGCTGGAACCATTCCTCAGTCTCCCTTCAGCCCTAGCTTCACCTGGCTCTCTGCTCTCTCCTCCCCACTAGTTGGCCATCAGGCGCAGGCCCAGCCTCTACGTCATAAACCTTCTGGTGCCCAGCAGCTTTCTGATAGCCATCGACGCCCTCAGCTTCTACCTGCCGGCAGAAAATGAGAATCGTGCTCCATTCAAGATAACCCTCCTGCTGGGCTACAACGTCTTCCTGCTCAGGATGAGCGACTTGCTCCCTGCCAGTGGCACCCCCCTCATCAGTATGGCCCCTGCCACTCCCCACCAAGCAAAGGCAGCAGCGGACAGGGAGGGGAACCAGGAGAGCTGGCTGCCTCTCCACTTGAGGAGGGAAGGGGTTCTGAGGAAAGACTGGATTTGGGGAAAGAAGCTTAAGAAAAGCGTAGAGATGAATCTGCCCTGGGTTATTCACAATTTTCTTTGCCCTCAGGTGTCTACTTTGCACTGTGTCTGTCCCTGATGGTGGTCAGCCTGCTGGAGACCATCTTCATCACCCACCTGCTGCACCTGGCCACCACCCAGCCCCCACCCATGCCTCGGTGGCTCCATTCCCTGCTTCTATACTGCACCGGCTCAAGGAGATGCTACCCCACTGCACACCAGAAGGAAAACAAGGGCCTGGGCCTCACCCCCTCCCACCTGCCTGGTGAGAGAAGTCAACCCTGTCCACACACTCTTGACTTCCCCAACGCCCCAGTTCTCTAATCCTGTCTCCTTCCCACTTCACAGCTGAGTCTCTGTCCTCTCCACAGGCCTGAAGGAGCCGGGAGAGTTGGTAGGGAAGGAGCCGGGACCCAGAGAGGCAAAGCGAAATGGGGGCTCAGAATTGACAAGGGCCCAGCTAACTGACCTGTGGATGGAGTTCGGCTGCAGGATGGACACCTTCCTCTTCCGCCTCTACCTCCTTTTTTTGGCATCCTCTGTCATCACAGTCATCGTCCTCTGGAACACCTAGGAATCAACATTGCGGGGGCGCCCCATGTTCAGGTTTCTTTGGCTTCAAATGACCATCCCAGACCCTGTTCCTCTGCTGCAATCTGCATACACAGTTCCAACTATGCCCCTGACTCCTGCTCCAGCCCTTCCTGCACTTAAACAGAACTGCTGACTAGCTCAGAAGTGAGACTGTATTTCCAAAACTTAATGAATGCAGAATATATATGTTTATGTTAGAAATAGAATTTTACTGGAAAAGGAAGTTTTCATAATAAACAATTACAATTATTTACCAAAAAAGTGACTTATGTTACTGGTGTAGAGGAAAGGGATTAAACTTCTTTTTAAAAATAGCCAGGGGCTGGCCTGTGGCCCAGTGGTTAATTTCATGTGCTCCACTTGGGCAGCCCAGGGTTTCAACAGTGCAGACTGAGCACCACTCATCAAACCACGCTGAAGCAACATCCCACATAGCAGAACCAGGAGGACCTGCAACTAGAATATACAACTATGTACTGGGGGGGTTTGGGGAAAAGAAAAAAAAGGAAGATTGGCAACAGACGTTAGCTCAGGGCCAATCTTTAAAAAAAAAAAACCAAGAAATGCAGATTCTCAGGCCCTAGCCCTGATCTCCAGGATCAGAAACTCTAGGGGCAGGGAGCTGGCAATCAGTTTCAGCAAGCTCTCCAGGGGTTCAATAAATAAATAAAAATAAATAAAAATAGGCTAACATTTATTTATCCTTTTAACAAATAAATTGAGCACCTACTATGTGCAAGACACTGTTCTGAGTGCTGAGGATACTGCAGTGAACCAAACTGACAAAATTCTCTATCCTCAGGGAGCTTCCATTGGGGGTGGGTGGAGACACACAGTAAAGAAGATAAACGGGTAAAAACACAGAACATGTGCTAAGTCTCAAGGAGAAAAAGCAAATCAGGGAAGGAAAAACAGGAAATGCGGGGAGAGGGTGGCCAAGGAAGGGTTAGCCCATGATAACTTCCTGCCCTGCTGGCTCCTACACGTTTCCACCATAAGGCGAGATGGACACGGTTGGAACCCAGTCTTTCACCTGAGGCTCAGAGGTTATGTAACTTGCCTAAGGTCATGCAGCTCTTGCTATTTTTAGTTCTTTTTTCAGGGATAGGCTTCGGGTGTGAATTTAACAAGTGTTTATTGAGCTCAGGTGATGGTATACACAAACGTCCCTGGGTAAACCCCACTGGAGACTGGAGGACGCAGATCAAACACAGGCTCTGTCCTCAAAGAGCTTGTGGCCCATCTGGAGAAATAAAATACATATTTATACAATTTCAATTAAATGTAGAACATGTTTTTAAAGTTTTGTTGAGTGCCATTAAAGAGAAACTGCTATAAAGTTCACAGGAGAAAGGATTCTTCTGGCCAGAGCAATGGTCCTTAATCCATGTTAGAATCATCTGAGGAGATTTTTAAATAATCCTAATACCCAGGCTTTACTCCGCACCAATTACATCAGGACCTTTCACGTGGGCCCTGGCTTTTGTATGGTATGGTTGAAAACTTCCCATGAGATTCTAATGTGCAGCCAGAATTGAAAATACTGAGGTAGAGGCCAGGGGAGCTTCGTGTGAAGGATGCAGTGTTTGGGTTGGACTCTGAAGGATGATTAATATGAACAGATGGAGGGACATGAGGCTTGCTGGAACTGACTAGTCACAAGACACCTCTGGGGTGACACGTAGGAGAATCACAACAGATCGGGTCTCATGGGGTCCGTGGATTTGTGCAGCAGTGGTTGAATAGTGGGATCCAGGCAGAATGACAACACACTCATTCTCGTGGTCCTCAAGGGGCTCAGTTATCCAAAACAAGCTCATAAAATCATCTGCCAGAAATAGCCCCCCAGTAGAATACAAAATGGTGCAGACACTTTAGAAAACAGTTTGGCAGCTCCTCAAAGTGTTGAATATAGAGTTACTATATGACCTAGCCATTCTGTTCCTAGATATTACTGAAGAGAAATGAAAACATATGTCCACACAAAAATGTGTACTCAAATGCTCAAAGCAACATTATTCATAATATCTAAAAAGTGGAAACAACCCAAATCTGTCAACTGATGAATGGATAAATAAAATGCTGCATGTTCATACAATGGAATATTATTTGGCCACAAAAAGGAATGAAGCAGTGATGCATACTGCAACATGGATGAATCTCGAAAATATGCTAAGTAAAAGAAAAGCCAGCCACAAAAGGCCACATATTATAGAATCCCACTTATACAAAATGTCCAGAGTATGCTAACCTATAGAGACAGAAAGCAGATTAGAGGTCGCCCAGGACTTGGTGGTGAAAGGGGCAGGTGAATGAGGAATGACTGCTAATGGGTACAGGATTTCTTTTGGAGTGATAAAAATGTGCCATAATTAGATTGTGGTGGTGATTACATAACTCTGTAAATATATAAAAAGATCATTGAACTGTGTGCTTTAAAAGGGTGAATTTTAGGGTATATAAATTATATCTCAATAAAGGTGTTGAACAACAACAACAAAATAAATAACCCCACCACAAAATTCCCTCTGCCCACCACCTTCCTCCTGCTTATGTTTCATTCCAGTGCTTCCCACCACCATCTCCCCAACTCTGATTCTTCGATCCTTATATTCAACTTTCATCAGTGTCTGCCCCCGGTCCTCCTCCACCATTGGATGACTAACCGGGGGTTCATGAGCCTCAGCTGCCCACTCCCCTGTCAGCTCTGCATGCTTCCTTGATGTTGACATCATCCACAGCTTCAGCTCAGACACAGCTTCCATCATCTCTAACTTCTGTATGAAATGCTCACCAGTCAGACCAGCTCAGGGCTCCTTGATAGAAGGTGGGAATTCAGACATTATATCTAAGACAAGTGCTTCCCAGAGTCTTGGAATATTTCCCATGGGGATGGAGGAGTTTGGAGGAGTGCAGTGAGTAACAGCAGCCCTGCCTCACTTTCTGCAATTGAAGATGGAACTGCAGGGCTGGGGTAGCTGATAACCCCTACTGGTCAGCAGGCAGGTGGAGCTCCCGTACGTGCAGCATGTCATCAGGCTTAAATGAGAGCTTCTGCCTCTGTGGACCAACCAGTCTTCTGGTCCCCAGAACAGCTACATGGAATAAATGAAGGAGGGAAGCATTCATTCATTTATTTATCCAATCTTTACTAAGTGCTTCCTTAGGTACTAGACAGTTTTTTCTAAGCACTGGGGATATGACAATGAATAAAACAGACAGGAGGAAACATTTTCTAAAGTAACAAACTAAGATGATTTTGTATACTGATAATTGTTCTGAAGAAAATAAAACAAGGTAACAGGACAGAGAATGACACACAGATTAACAGGATGTTCCAGGAAGGCCTCTCTAAGAAAGTGACATTTGTGCCAGCCAAGAAATGAATGATGAGATGATGATGTGATATGCCCTGAGATAGGGGACTGATGTATTCATAAGGGGAGGTTAGGATGACATGTGATAGACAGGCACTACATTTATAGAAGTAGATCTGGGCAGCCAGGATCTTTGGATGAACAAGGTGAGAAACTGGAGGGAGAGTCCCATGTCCATTATTTTGTTGCTGTTGTGTAATGTTTAAGGATTGTGAGAGTATATTTACAACCCACTCAAAGGGTTTAGAACAGTGTCTTTCAAATAGTTTTTATCCATCACAGAATCTATTCTACTCACCCATGCATGCTGCCTCACTCAAAAAAAAACAACTGATGATCGCGTAGAATTGAAAAGGAACAAAATTAAAAATTGCAGCAAACTTATGCTAGAATTATGTATAGATCTTCTCACTATATATTATACAAGAGAATATGAATTTACACATCTTTTTAATTGTAAAAAAATTCCCTATAAACTATAAAATACGTAATATTTTTATTGCACTTGTCTTGATATTATATTACAAGTTATTGAACTAGCTTAGACTCTCTGAAAGCACGTCACCAATGCAGCGTCACTAGACAAGCAGATTTTGGGGGAATTTGTATACGATCATTTTAACAGTAAGATAGAGATACCTGGACCACAAAGCAAAGCTACTTTTGATGCAAATATGCATCACAACACCCTGAAGCGGGACTCAAACAACCCACGTGACGTTGAGTAGATGATGATGAAGCAAAGGTAGCAGTTTACTATTGAAAAGCATGGCGAGCACCTTGACCGCTTCAGATCAATGCACTGATTTAAAAAATCCTGCAAACTGAGAGAATTCCAACAGTCCCCTCTCTGCTTTCAATAGGATCTTAACAGAATGCCAAACTTGAATCTCAAGGATGCTCAAGTAATGTACAAATTTTGGTTTACAAATGCCTCATTTTAGCAATCCTAAATTAGGAGGTCCTTGGGGACAGGTAAAGCTGAAAGGAAGACCTGAAGAAAGGACTTGGATTTGTCAGCCCTTCTGGAGGCCATCACCTCCCTAGAGTGGAGACCCTACTTAGACCCCTCTGAGACCGTTGGTGACGTTAAGATACATGCAAAACAGCATGCTATGCATAATGCACCTACATTATCCATCTTTTCCTGACAAAATTTGGACATGCTGTCAGACTTTTTTTCTGATTTGTAAAATAATTTATATGAACAGCCTTATAAAAATCCATAAATAAAATTATGTTCATAGACTTAGTGAATTGCCTTTATTAAAAAACAAAGTTATGTGAAAAGAAATATGAAAGTTACAAAGAAAACAAAGAACTTGTATCAACTAACACGCACCTGTGATTTTCGTCATTGATTGACCTACCGTTGGAGTTGATGAGCTGATGAACTCTTATGCCATTTGTCCTTGTTGAGCAAGAACTCTGCTTGTTTGAGTATTAATGGGTCTGGAGTAAAACAGAGACATGATGGATTATCCAGTTTTCATGAAAGGGTGTTAATTTAGGCCTTTCCTTGGTTTGGACATAGAAAAGTTATTGCAATAATAATAACTATCATTTACTGGGTACTTTCTTTATGCCAAGCCATTACATTCATTATCTCATTTGATCCCCACGACAATTCTATGAGGTAGATATTAATATTATTCCCAGTTTACAGATGAGGACACTGAGGTAGAAAGAGGTTAAGATGCTTCCCCAGGATCACGCAGCAAGTAAGTGGTAGAAGTGTATTGAACTCAATTTTGTCTAACTCTTAATTCC